TGATAAAATAAACGACAACAAATTATAAAAATTTACTCGACGGAGGACATTTAAAATACAGAGGGCAAGAGGACTATTGACGTCAATGGAAGACGTCCTCCCAAATGGAGTACAGTTGGCAACCCCAGTCGCAGACGTCGTTCTAATGACGGTGGTGAGAGTTTGATTCAGTAAAATAGTTTGTACAGACTTTTCTAAGAAGTTTCTATGAATAAGTGAACAACGTTTTGTTTTTGAAAAATTACTGCTTTATCTATTAGAAATATTTAGTTGCGAAGATGTATCTGGAAATAATTCATAATTACACTACATTTAGCTAACTACTCATAAGTGAACTGCTACTGATGTATTCTGTTTAATGAAAAAGAAAGGGACTCACTGTTATACAGTAACCCTAGTCGACCCACTATGTATGCGAGGATGCAAATTTAACATCTGCTCCAAAGGAAGAATTAGCATTTTAAATGAGGTAAAGGACTTTTCACTAACGCACAATGCTTTATCTCAGCGGGTCTCTGGGAAAACTAGTTTCGAATTTCTAACCCTGTGGGTGATGCCATTCTGCTGCAAATGCAAGTGACTTGATCTGTAAATTTAGGAGTCCTTAGAAGGCCTTAAATCTGTATAATTGATGATTTTAAGTTTTGGGCCGGAATTTTCATTGTTTTTTAAGCAAAACAGAATACATTTGTGAGACATTAAAGAATTTGTTTCAGAGAAGGAGTATGTTGAAAATATTAATTTGTTGTTCTAATTTTTTTGGAATTTTTGCAAGTGGTTTTTGTGGAAATCTCGTTCCAGGATCATTCGTAATGCAGCAAAGACCGTAGATAAAAATATCCCCCTAAAAAAAATAAAAAAATTTTTATCAGACCATTAATAATATTTAATAGGCTACCTTTGTTTATGTTTCATCACTAACTTCTGACTTTGACCCACATTATTCAGCATAAGTGTTGCAGTCACATTTTACCCACCAACTTCAGTATCTAGGAGAATGGAAGAGAATCCCCTCCTTCGGAGGGGAAGTAAAGCCGGCTGTCCCATGTTAGTAGATTTACTTGCATGTAAAAGATCCTCAAGCCTAAATGACGCCTCTGAGCTAAATTCAAATCGACTTTTTCTCGCCCAAGAAATACCTCCTTTCTCTGCTAGTTGATGAAATGAGCGTAGCGAAATTTGCGTGGTCAGTCGGACGAGCGGGCCTGATGGCCCGAGTCTCGCCACGTAAAATAAGGCAAATTCAAATCAAATCTTCCGGAGACTGGAAGACCGCGAGTTCAATCTCAGGCGAACGCGGGAAATTTGTTCAATGATACTCTACAAAAAACAAACTTTTTTCTGTAACACGAACAAAACATACCGCACCTGAAAGATTATTTACCTCTCAATATAGATCTGATTTCAGAATGTCTGTGTCAGCTGCAGTTTTCATGTGATGATCGTTTATGTAAATGTGCATGTCTCCCTATGTATTACACGTGTATGGCAAAATGGCACGCTCTAATTACAACTGATTCAAATGAATACAGTAAAAATACAACAACATGAATGTTGAGAAGAGATAAGAAATACCTCAAATATTTCATTCCCAATTTCTCTTCGTAAGGTTTATTTGAACAACATTGCTTTACTCCAATTGCCTTGATAGCACTTTTCCATTTGAGAAATGTCCTGGTGGTTTGCCATGTACGTCAATAACGGTGCCGAGGTTATTCAGCAAGAAGCCCAAATGATCATTCAAATATCGTGGTTTAAGTAACATTTTACATGTAGAACGTAGTACTTTGTGTGCCGGAACTGCATGCCAAGCAGAATTGCAATTACCTTGAGAATATACTCACATATATTCCATTTGTACTTCTCATTTTTGATGTGTGAGGTGTTGTTTAATTTTCGACTCTGTTTCTCAAATACTTACGTGGACTCTGTTTGGAGCCTTTTTTGACCCCAAAAGTTTTACACAATAATTTACAAGTATTTGATGAAGGAATGTTATTTAGAATTGTCATTTTTCTCAAATGCGAGCTGCTGACGCTGCACCCTTTACAAAGATTCTCGAGCCGCGCCCAATTCTTCCTTCCCCATCCATCCCCTCTTCCGTCCTTCGGCTGAGCCTCAATTCTCAGTCAAAAGAGAGGCTTTTTTCACAGCATCAAGCATCCTCGAGCCTTTGCACATGCTCTAATTCCAACTCGAATAGATATTCCACTGAATTAAATGAACTATACATGCTAACATTTATATTCATTACATATACAATTACCAGATTTTCTAGTGAAATTTAACCCTAATTTACTTCTGCACATTCTATTTATTTATTGCACTAGTAACAGAATATCGTAAGCGTACCAGAATGTACCTATTTGTTCGAATGCCTAATTGACTAATTATTTCAGATTTCCGGGCGCGTGTTTCTGTCGACTACTGTGGAAAAGTCCATTAGTTCCGTAAGTGGATGGAGAGATCAGACCTTGATCTACAGTGAGCTAGCGGAGTTTTCCTCAACCAGGTATCTCCCACAGGCACGGCACCGCCCCAGCCGGAACAAGCTCGAAGCTCTCGACATGTGGGCTAGTGTAGTACATGTAAATGTAAGTGTGTGTAAGTAAGAGGTGAGGGTAGGACAAGGAAGAAGGAAAGATAGAGCGTGGTCCGTTTGTTAGAGTACTGCTCCGGCATTCGCCTAGTGTTGATCGGAGAAACGACGGAAATCTACCGATCAGAGAAGCCGGCCGGCAGAATTCTCCACCCGACAGCGGCTGAATTCGACCTAGCTATCGACCTCCTGCGAGAGGCATGAGTCGAACCGTAGGACCTTCCGGTCAGGGGCACTGCAGTGAGATCATTTGACACCCTGAGCTGTCTCAGCCCTCGCCTATTTGTTTAAGTATTCTCCTTGAAGACAAACACACTAAACCAATAAAACATGAGTACATACAAATATTTGAACAACCAAAAATATTATATTTCGCATGGGTTTACCAGAACGTGATGGATGAAGTGATGTATTGCAATCGAGAATAAATCTATTTTAGTAACAGGTAGAAAATAACCTTTGGGGCTTCGCTAATTTCTTCAAAAATATGCGTCTGGGGTTCATATACATCACTCGTGAGTGAAAAACGTGTTTTACTCTTGAGTCATTAATTGTCATGAGATGATTAAAGAGTTATTTTAAATTACCAATTTTTTGGAAATTATATTATTCGTTTTGATAAGAAGTTTTTTCAATCAAAATTATCTTTTCTCGGAAGAATGAATATTGAAAATCCGTTTTGATTTCGTGGAAAAGCCTAGCACTATACACACAATAAATTTTCTCTTGCCATGATTAATTAATTTTTCAGGAATCATTACCATACATAATGTGAAAACTCTTAATTAAAATGTCGCTAGTAAATAATTGGCCCCAGTACTTTTAACTCATAAAATGCACAGGTTAAAACAAATAGCTCAATCATTGCAATTCGAATTTTCAAGGGACAAAATTCAGAGAAAAATAATTGAATTTAAAATATTAATTACAGCCGAGATTTGTGAACAGAACTAAATGCTTTAACAAGAATTACTTCACTTCCATGGCATAGTACTTTTCTCATATCCTGCCCTTCCTTTACTGGGCACACATTGCCATTATGAAGCGAAGTGTGTACGCACATGTTAGGCAAACATAATAAGCCCATCCATACCCACTCCATCATGAAAATGTGTTGTCGTAAAGCTGAGTGATGGTGCGTGCTATAAGTACCATTGCGTGGAGAGTAGAGCGAGATTTCAGAGGTGAACATTTTGCTAATTAAATTAACGCGACATCATGAATTACTGTAATTAACACGCGGAGGATTGAAATTAAATCGGATATACTCTTTATGTATAGCAAATCACGCGAAAGGTTCATTATTAAAATTAATAATTTAATACTCTTTAGGTCTCTTTTTTCTCCTTCCTCTTTCTCTGCATTATGCCAACAATCCAGATCTATTGACTTTAAATATTTTCTTCTTCTTCACAATGATCCCGTAAACTACTTTCTCATCAATGAAAAACTAATTTGTAATAACCTCGTATAAATTAACATCATTGAAAACAATTAAATCTTTGAATGACACTAAAATCCACACATAGACTAAAGTACTTCACGTCACTGTTTCAAAATTTAATTTAGAACTATAATTAAATATTTTCATCTTAGAAATTTACTATATGACTTAAGACAATAAAACTTACCAAACATAATAATAAAACTACAATACGGATTCCCAACGAATTTTTGAACTCCTGCGAAACCCAGGTAAGCAAGATAAATTTCTTGCCACACTTGGCTTACGTGGCCCGTTGATTCTTTGCGTGCGAACGCACTCGTTTGTCCTTTTCCGATTTTCGGAGGAAATCCCGCATCACGACCGCAGTGATAAATACGCAGCGGAAAGTCTCCGGCCAGTATAAATCTCTGTGCAATGCACCGCATGCGAAGGATTTATGATCCGGCGAGCGCATCGACCCACGTAGATCCGCGTTCAACCGGTAGGTCGCGCCGCGGTCGCCTAACGCCGCGTGCCTCGTTGCCAGCTGCCGTCACCAGGGCGCGCCACTGCCCCCTCCAGTCGCAGCTGATCAGCGCAGAATACAAAGACGGCTGGATTCTGAAGGTCCTTAGTGGGAACTTTGGTGACGACCAGGCACGTCATTAGTCACATGGCTAAAATTGCGACTTGGTACCAACGTAACGGTTATGGTGAATATATTTGATTGAAAATTAATATATTTTATTGGAATTTGATGGGATTTGTACGACTCGTACGAAAGCAGTAAATTAACTTCGGCACCTGTAACTAACAAAAAGTCAATAACTCTAATTTGTGGCCACCCTATCCACTTATAAGAGAGGCAACTACGTCGGAATTACCATCCATAACTGCACTACAACCTCTTAAATAAGGTCACACCCGAATGTTCTCTGTTCGTTCAGATTTAAAATTCCCGCCCTTGAGCTTCCTATGCGTCATAGAGTGCTTATTGGCTGCCCGCCTGTTGCTGCGCGAGGCTGCACCCTTCTCCTTGGCTTTGCGGTGCAGCTGATCGGCAGCCGGCGGCGGCTGCAGCGAAAGTGGTGTGCGTGGTGTGGCGTGGGAGAGGCACGCAAGGGCGGGCGGGCGCGCGTGCGTGAGTGCGTGCGTGTGACCGGCGCGGGAAAGGCTTTCGTTGCGTTGAGCGCGCGAGCGCGTAAGATGTCGGCGACTGCGGCGGCGAAGAAGGCGCTGCGAGAGGAGGTGCGGCGCGCGATCGCGGCCCTCAGCGATGCGGAAAAGCGCCGCCAGTCGGCGCTCGTGACTGAGCAGGTGCGTACGCGATCCAGGTGGCGGAGGGGAGCCATACGCACGAGTGCGGATTAGAGGGGGAGTTGGTTAATTATATATATATATTATTATTATATATATATACTATATATATACTATATATATACAATATACAACATTATTAAGCTTTGTAATTGGATTATTATATGAAACACTACGTAATGGTAATATGTTGAAAAGCTAAACGAATAAGCTAATTTAATAATAATGGATATATTTTTGACAGATTAAATCCTGCACATTAGAGAGAGAGAGAAATAATACTTCAATTAATTTAATAGCCACATGGACATGGTAAGCAGGGGTCAGATAAGCATTTTGTCATCCGTTTGAGAGTTCGAAGTAGTGGCTTTAGCTAGAATGCAGTTTTTTTTTCAAGAATCATAATAAGGAGGAGGAGATAAAAACGAAATCCATTATTCCATTATCCCATCATATCAATTAATACATTATTCGTTGTTTCAAAAACAACTGTTTAACTCCGCGTCCGCAATTACCGTGAAACACCATTCAGCATGTGCAGCACAATATATCCTGAGCGTTTTACGCCAAAAATATTTCATTTCGCGGTCCTTCTCTTTGCTTCTCCCAACTCCTACGGAGTTGATTTGTTCGCGGGAGTGCGTTAAGGGATGACACCCTATTAAAATATACATGGTTAACTTCTCCTTGACGTCCTCCTAGACCTCTGTTTTGGTCAACCTGCATAAAATGTTGCCGCTTCCGCCAATATGACAAACAGTGTTTGAATGTTTTGAGGACCAATGTGGACGTATGTGTATGCGAGACCGCAATATTGAGAAAGGTGCTTGGAACACAGCCGGTGCTGTTGGTCTGGTAATTTCCATGTGCGCCTGCAGTCGCTCGCCTGCTGGCGCGTGGGCCATGGGCGGTGGGGAAGGGGAGCACGTGGGGAGGCGCGGGCGTTTGGGCGGCAGCCAGGGCGGATGTGCGGGGGTGGTTGGGGACCCTGACCCTCGCACCACGCATGCGACTTCGATGCCGATGTTTTCAAAACAGCCGTGTTTTAAACAATTAAAATTCCATAAAAAAACTATAAAACCATCGATTTAAACAATTAATATTCTATTAAAATATAAAAACGGGTTTAAACAATTAAAATTCTATAAAAACATCTACATTTTAATCAATTAAAATGTAATAACTATAAAACGCTGATGTTTTAAGCATCGATGTATTAAAGCCAATGTCCGACACTCACAGCGTATTTGATTCCAATATCTCAATGTGCAAAATGAATATGAACAAAGAGGAAATGCTACGGCATAAGAGGTCATCGCAGGCGAGAGAGTTGGTCAATGAAGGTAGTGCAAATAGCATCCCTTTGGTTCCAATACATAAACAACAGTGTTACCATATGTTATTATTTCATATTTTAACTTTTACAGTATAGTAATCATGGGGATTTTCATTCATAAAGAAACGAACGGAAAGAAAAAAAATCGATCACAAATCATCGATGTTAAAAGAAAACATCGGCGTCATTACATCGATGTTTCTACAAAAACATCGATGTTTTGAAAACATCGCAATCGATGTCGCATCCCTAATGCGCACCCCGTGGTTGCCGCGCCAACCTTAATAGCGCAACCAAAACTTCAACTACGGACGGGGAAATACAAAATGCTTCTCGCGATCATTTCACCTTATCGCTTTATCATCAAAGTGCTGTCTTGAGATAAAGGTAGGGACGAATCCTTCAATTATGAATTCAATCACTTCCTTTCATTGAGAATCATTATTAATAAGTCTGATGTTTTTAGGAATTACGAAATGTTAGTCGCGATCATTTCACTTTATCACGTTATCATCAAAGTGTAATCTTGAGACCTGGGTGGAAATGCGTAGGGACGAGTCCAATTTCCAACGTCTTTCATTGAGTAATATCAAAAGGTTGATGTTCTAGGAATCACATGATCACATTTCAAGACATGGGACGATGGTTTCCGTACAAAAGCAGTAACGGTGATAATTCATGGTAGCGAGTTCTGAAATTTCAAACTCATCAAACTCACATTACTTACTTTCGTGTAATTTGATTACTAGAATTCACTTGCCGGGAAAGGTACCTAGAGTCTTATATCAAAACGAGTAACGGTTCCACGTGCACTTCTAGATGTGTAGGAACTGTATTAATTGTCCATATTACCGCTGTATTATTGTCCGATTTACCGCTCTGAAGAATTTGTGTGTGTGTGTGTGTGTGTGGGGGGGTATTAAATTTTCGAACTAGAAAGCGGAGTGTCCTTGCGGATCAATGGATACAAATCGTTTCCTCGATGCAACAGCAGAAATTAATTACAGAGTAATGTTAACTCTCGAACCAGATCCACCTGAATACGTTGTCCATTTCAAAGAAAGATCCTACTTTTCAGAGAAGCTGTGGACTATCCTGCTAAACTCTATGCCTGAGGTCTACGATTGGTTTCGTTTTATCCAAAGGCGAATTAAGGCACATAATATGAAGTCTTAATTTAAGAGAAGAACACTTGACTGGTGAATTAGTATGATTAATGGATTATCAAGAAGTTTGTGAAGAATGTCGAATTCGAATTACGTGAAGCTGTAACGAATGGTTTTGGCAACTACAATCTGTATTGTGGCTCTGGAACTGGAACCAGTGTCGGAGCTAGATACTTTTGGGCTCGGGGCAATACTGGAACATAGTCCCTCACCCCCCCCTCCCCCAACCCGAAACAAAAGAATTAAATATTTGAAGGTTGTTTGCACGAGACTTAACGACTTATTTTATTTATACAACAAAAATACATTTATATATTTTAACAACAAAAATTACAACGTTTAAGCTAGAAAAAAATTGGAAATATATTTTAAATATTAGTTTCATTTTGTTACACTTCAATGAAATGGCCAATGTCTGTATAATAAACATACTTTTACAAAAATGCCTATTACAATATATTGTATGTTAAGAAGAAAACATTTTCTGATTTGTCTGACGTTATTCTCACCTTATACGTATTGACTATAATTAAATATTTAAAGTAAAAAAATAATTAAAAATTGTATAAAACAGACTACTGTATCGTGACTTATAAAATTATGTTATCGATTTTCTCCAGTTCTAATTTCTTTTTCGATTTTTTACTATATTTTCCCTGTCTGATGCGCGCTCATGCCTGTCACCCCTCGGCTTACAGGGCTCCTGGCGATCGCCCGGTCCAAAGAATAAACAATCCCCCGTCCTGCCCAAGCCTAACGCCCCCTCTGACTGGAACATGAACAATCGATGTGTGTTGGGTATCTCCGCAGGCAGAGCGACGCCACCATTCCTTCACGCGCGCTCATGCACGAAACGGGAGAGGCATTAAAACACATCTTAGAAGTTAGTTGGCAGCATGTATAAACTTTTATGACTCTTGTATATTCTTTTCATGATTGTTTACCCCTACGTCTAGACTGAAAGTACCCTAAAAGTGCTTCGTAAAATTGTATATGAGCGCGAAATTTTCCACAGTTTCAGGAAAGAGAGAGGCATTTCGCTTTTGCAGATCGACATTAACGGCCGAGATGGCGCTGGGCCAAGTTCGCAGCACAGATCGGAAACAGCTGGGCGGGAAGGTTTCCCGAAACATCTTCATGTAAACTGAGTGCTCGCTGAACGACCGGGGAACATTCGCGGTAAATACGCAGTTGCAAGTGGATTCTGGAAACGTAGCTGGCCAGTGACGCGACGATGAGAAGGGGTACAGTGATAGCGGCCCGGGTAGTGTGGGGGAAACACGGTCACGATAACAAAAAAGACAACATTGAGAAGACTACAGCTCAAGGTTGAAAACCTCCTTCAAATACGAATGCTCTAGGTTTGGAGACGATGAAAGTAACAGGGAATAGTGGACAGGAAACTCAACTAACAGTTTTCATTGAAATGGCCTCGACAAAAAGTAGGCGATAATATATTATAGACTTGATTTATTTACTACGTTAATATTAAAATTATTGCAATTGTTATTTTTTAAACAAGTTAAGTTATTGGTTTAGTGATGAGTTGTCATTGTCATTTAAAATGAAATACTTCGTATAAGTGTTATTATTGCCAAAAATATTATTTATTCCAAGAACATTTTCGATGGCTCAGCCACCATCAGTTTGCTGCAGTTTGGAATCCACAAAACTACTACTAGTCAACGAAAGCTGCTCTAGTAATAAATAATATTGTTGGCAATGACGTCTATAATTATTTAAATTTAAATTGTTATATAAAACGTTTTGATTATGCATGTATTGTCAAACATTTTGTCCCTTTCATAATACAAACAAATTTTTTAATTTGGATATTATTTATTTCCACCCTATCAATGACTTTATCAACATGAAAAACATACACATTACAAGTATTTTTATATTAATTAAAGAATCGTGTAGTTAGAAATGTTATTTAAAACTTAGAAGTTAGCATCGTCAAATTATAAGTCCCGATGCCAACTTGATTGTAGTAGAATTCAAACAACAATTTAAACGAGTGTTCCGATGAGTTAAAATATATCATCGATTCAAAACATTGTTGCTGAAATTAGTTTCCATTACAGAGAAACGAACATTTGTTGTGCTGAAATTTAGCAGAAACCTAGTTGCTAACTTTCTTGATAATTTAACTTTGCAAAGAAAAAAAGAGACACAGAGCGTGGATTCAGAAGCTTAAGAAAACGTGCGTAGATTGCATTGCTGTGCTAATATGTAGAGTTTTTTTTGTTTTTGACGATCGATAAACAAATAAATCGCATGGTGTCGAATTTCACCTCCTCTCTATTCCGGCTTGAACAATACCCTAACCCCTATTTACATTCATTTCCAATCTATGTATTTCTTAATTAATTTAATTGATCATATGCCTTTGCTTATTTATTCTCTTTTTTAAAAATTCGGCGGATTTCATTACTGTCTGGGGTTAAATTACATTCTCCCTACTTCATTATATGTTCCTGACTTTTGCGTGGTGT